AAACATTTGCATGAGGACTCCAATGATTCGGCTCCTCATGAGGGGGAGAATAAGAGGCAACGGATACTCGAGCATGGTGCTTCATCTAGCCAACAACCCCAACTTGAAACCTCAAACAACCTAGATTAAATGCAAGAATTCTCTCAAGGATGCAAATTTTAAGGGGGGGTTTTCAAAGTTCTCCTCCCAAGCGCCAAACATCGTCAAAGGCATCCTACTCAGTGCTCCAGTTGAGGGGGAGTACGCAGAGAGAAAATAAACAAGATCAATGAGAGATAAGTCCCAATGGCTTAGTAAACCCAACTAAGCCTACCCAAGGGACAAAGCCGAGAGGGAATAAATGAGTGAATATTATGAGTGAGGAAGCAGAAGGCTCCGATGAGCAAGAAGACAATAATCAATGACAAAACTGCTACCTCAAATGAGCTATCAATCGAGGAATCAATCCCAGTCACTCAAATACTCCGGACAATCCCCATAGGTTCAGGACTGAATTTATTCAGATCCCGGGTAGAAGTCGCTGCATTTTGTCCAAACAGCGCGTGCACAACCCTACCCTAGACCACTCACTTGTCTCCCAACAGACAGGTGTTTAATCACTGTTCACGGGGAACCTCATCTCTTATCACCGTCTCCTTCTGAGGCGACTGATACTGACTACAGTGGCCCTCAGCCCCATGCCACTGAACTTTCATTGATCACGTTGTGTCTAGTTATCTCACTCCTAAATGTTTTGAATTTTCTAGGACACAGACACATTTTTAGAGTCAGTTGCAGGTCCAAGTGACCATGCGAGAACTTTCATAGGCTCATCTTCTATAGATGCAGACCGATGATTGGATGGAAGTCCTGATGTTGCAACATAGAAATCACCAACATTTTCAGGCCATCATTTAGAGTTCATCTCTATAGTGATGATAACGGGTGTCTACATGATCCCGGGGGGCTACAATTATCTATGCTGATCCTAGTGATCATTCCATAACAACCAGAGTGACATCTACTTCAGATGTTTCACAATGATTGGTTGGAAGTCCTGTTAGAGCTACAACGTTTCTATCATTATATACAGGCCACACATCAATGTTTACACTGATGTTGTGTCAACGGAACACCACAGTGTCTCCGGTTCTTATCTTTTCATTTTTTTTGCATTTTCAATTTTCCAGAATAAAAGAATAAAGGCAAGACATCTCGATTCATTGGATTGTCATAAAGGGGGAGAGTGGTCCACACGCTGTTTACTCTCAAAAATCATTCTCGGACACTTCTCTCCTCCAGCTCAAAAACAATGGCTCTCTACTCTCTCATGTTCATCAACTGCCAAGTCAGCTTCAAATCTAAAGGTCATCCATGCTCACAAGTCAACCATCATTTTCCGCTGTTCCACCGACAACTGTTCCTCAAAAGCATTCACAACCGAATAGTCAGAAAAGGCTACATTCTGGAGGATACAGAGGTCGGATGATTAAATACTGAAGATGAATCCCTTATGCGCCTAGATTTCTCCAGAACAATCATTCTAAAGGCGCCATCAGATTCATTCAAGCTGATCAAGAGAAACTTCTGAAAGGCAGGGATTAAAAGCAAGAGTTTGAAGAATCCCTCAACCCCCGGCATCAAAGAACGAATGGAGTGAATAACACCAAGGGGGAGATTGTAAGGATTTCTTCATGAAGCCTTTCCAAGAAGACAAAAGAAGCTGAACTGAAAGAATTTGATCGACTAAAGCGGTGCTAGACGCAATCAATGCTCGACTCGAAAAGAGGAGAATGTTGCACCAATATGAACATGCTCTAGCACTACAAAGCAACTACTACAAGAGGCAGAAGAATCCACAAGAGCCAACAACGGACATTTGATCACAAAGGGGGAGAATGTTAGAGATATTTTTAGTGTTGTGATCAATGTATTTTATCTAGCCTCTTGGTAGTATTTATTGTGTATTTAATAGGCCTTAAATGTAAAAGGCTACTAAGCTAAATTAGGAATGGGCCTCCTAAAAAGGAGAGCCCATATCATTGTAAAACCTACCATTCTAAGGAGGCTATAAATAGACCCCTTAGGAATGGCTAGGTTAAGCTTTCCTCCCTTAGAAAAATTCCCTGCGCATAGAATAGAGCCTACGGAAGTTTTACGCTAACATTCTTCATCATCTTTGTGTAAACTTTCTGACTATCAATGGAAAGCTTCTTCTACTCCTATTAATCAGATCTTATACATTATAGAGTAGAAATTGGGACCAACATTGCCAATTTGGGATATCATCTATCAATGAAGACAACCGTTACGTATACTCTATTATCTATGTCGAATATAAAAATACATTAATAATACTCCATAAATAACAATATTATCTACAAATTATCGAAATAATCTTTGAGTAATCATCTGCATGGGCGTCGGCTATTGATGACTCTAGCTGAAAGGTTTTGGGAAAGATAAGAAAAAAATATATAACCAAAATGTAGAAGATATGAGGGGAAAAGACACCATTCATGATGTCACATTCAACGCAAATAGGGTGCATGGCTAACTAGCTACCTTCTCAATAGAAATCTAAGACATATAACATCCTACCCGAGTATTAGGTCGAACTTGCGGATATAAAGAATATTTGTAGAAAAAGAAATTACACAAAATTTATTATCTTAAGAATTAAAGCATTTTTAAAATTTGAAATTAAATGGACTAAGTTGACTGGTAGATCCGCCCATGTTGACCATACCCAATTATGTACCAATAAAGTCGATCGAGATCCCAAATATATACTACTCCTTCCGTCCCATTTTACATGTCCTACTTTCCTTTTTGGGTTGTCCCAAAATAAGTGTCCACTTTCTTTTTTTGAAAAGAAATATGTGGCCTACATCATTTCAGTCTATTATACTCAAAACGCAATCACAACTTTTACTTTTTCAACCACTTCATTAATAACCGTGCCAAGTCAAACTAAGACACATAAAATGGGACGGAGGTAGTACATTATACCACACTATCACAATAGATGGTGTTCGGTCTTTTTTTGACAAGAGATGGTGTTGGGTCTTTAGTTTGATATATATTGTGGTTATGTGCTATTGTACTACATATGATATCAAATAAACCTCCCTTTAAGTTCATTATTATATGTATTGATAGAGTTGTTCATAAGAGACTGTGTAAATTCTTCCAAAAAGAAAAAGAAACTATGTAAATGTATACGGGTGGCGCCAGCAATTATGTATTAGGACTTGGGAGGATCCATTTTGTGGCAGCTAAAAAAATTATTTGAACATATTTTATACAAAGTATAAACTGTATTCCTTCCGTTCCTCAAAACATTACCAAATTTGATCAGCACGTAAAATGATAAAGTAAAAAAATGTCCAATTGATGATATTTGTGTAGAGTAAAGAAATATAATAAAATCCACAAATTAGTTAATTAAAAGTGTAAGTAATAAAAAGTTTTCAGACAATAAAACAAGGAATGAAGGAGTGTATATTTATACAAATATATGTAGTACTATTATACGTATATAATACCAACTTTTTGTGGATTTGTTAAATACCCAGAGTTATAAGAAGTACGACTCAAAACCGTAGACGAGAGGGTGGAGACTGGAGAGTATCGGGCGGCATAAATCATAATAAACCCTTGTCGTTCCTTTTTGTTCATCTCCTCGACTCTTTTTAAGTATTATGAACTTATGAAGTTTTTTCATCTTCTTCGTTGTTTAAAAATGTCTAAAAAGTATTTTGGGGTTCGAATGAACGGTGTTTTATTCCCTTATGTGTTTAAGGTTCTTATTATCATGCCAATTTTGACAGTTATTTTATGGGTGAATTCTGCTCAAATAAAAAATTAAAGCATTATATTCTGTTGTTTAATTGATATTGAAGATAATACTCTTCCAAACATGGATTTGATGATATCCTCAAAGGTCATTTTTATTCTCAAATAGTCATGACACTACTAATGACTCGTCCCCTGCCAAACCACCACCATCGATTAAAAGGATGACTCTATATTTCTATCAAACTTGTGTGTTTCAAATCGCAATAAAATTCATTACTGTTATGCTAGGCGCGACAATGGTCATTGATAGCTACTTTCAATCATGCATGTGAGGGCGCTATGGCTACATGGTTGGACACTGGACACTTGTGGGTTACTTTCAATCGTATTTACAATTTCTCTTATTTAATCATTGTTATTATTTGTTGTTCATTCATTTTTAATTTGCTAAAGAAATTGAAGGTTTTGTGTATCAAGTTAGAAGCATAGGGATCAACATGATCAAATTAAACTTATATTTGTTCTTTACATGGTTAGCGACTTTTGAAACTTATTTGTGTATATGAAAGTCCAAATCTAATTATTGGACTTCTTAGTTCTTACCTTGAGATTTATTAATTTCGATATTAGACTATTGTAATAATATTTGATTTATTAATTTCAAGATGAATCCCATTGAAAAAATACACAAATTACTTTTTGAAGTAGAAAAACGAACGACTCCGGTCCTACAAATGTAAGATAGTTGTACGTATCTACTTCCATTTTACTTGCACCAAGGGAGATTCAAAGAGACCATTCTATAATTAATGATTATTGAATTTGACGAGGGAGGGCATTATCTCAACCCCTAAATTGTGTGACCATTTTGGATTGCATACGAAGTATGTTTTATTCTACAAAAATCAAGTAAATGACTAAATGGATTAGGAAAACGAGCTGCCAAATGACCAAGTGTACATATTTTACACCCAAATGACCGTTGAACGTAACTCAATTATGTCCAAAAGCTGGTTCAAATACATTACAGGTTTGGAGCAATCTTTTACTCATTCTCATTCTATTTTGGAGGCATCATAACACCATTGAGGCATTTATCAGGACCGAAATTAGATACTACGTATTATCTTCGGGCGAAGACCATTCTTGTCTTAAAGTTAGAACCAGGTCCAGCTCTGACTCGGTAGTTAATTATGATAACTAGACATAAAATTAAAATCTCCAGTTATAATTTCCCAAATTTGGTGTTTTAGTTTTCAAAAATAAAGGTGAAGCTCCTTTCACCCTTAACGAACCCAATCATGAAGAAAGGTAAATAGTTATTGAACAATAATTTACAAGCGATACAGATAAGCTTTGCATGTTCAGGGCATAAAATAACTGGCTACATTGTTTTTTTGTTTCAGAAAGATACTGAACAGTTTGTTTATGAGCCAGTATCAAAATCTACTTTTTTCCAAACAAGCTTCTCAGCCGCCCTCTTTCCAAACGCATTTGCAACTTCTTCGCCCCGGGAACCTCCATCTCGCTAAGCTTCTTAAGGTAACCGATCGCACCATACGAAACCATCAACCTCTTACACCTCTTGCTTGTGGACAGCATACTAAGGCATGAAACTGAATACTTTTTCGCACTATTTTGAGGGTTCGGGTCCAACAGCTGCACCAAGCTCGGCACGCTTTTTTCATCCTTCTTCACCTCCCGGCAGTTACGCACAACACTCATCAGGCTACATATTGCCTGTGCAGCAGCCTCCCTCGTCTCGTTCTCCTTTGCCTCCAACATCTTAACAAGAAGCGGGACGCATCCTGCCTCGCCTACTGCCAATTTCACATCAACAGACGTGCAGAGTCTGCATATTGAAGAAGTGGCAGCTTTCTGTGCCCCGGGTGAGCCTGTTCTTAGGACATGTGCCAGCTTCGGAAGGATTCCGAGTGCAAGCAGCTTATCTGTCGGGACCGATCCCACCAAGTTCCTAATTGCCATGACCGTCGATTCTTGGGGTGGGATCGGGGCGTCCAAATAGGCAAGCAGGCTCTGGAGCCCACCCTCGGAAACAACGCATCTTTTGATGTCATCATTGACAGAAGTGAGATTCTGCAAGCATTCAGCAGCATACCTTTTAGTTCCAAGGAGGAGGGAGAAATCAAGAAGATGGATCATAACTTTGACAACGCCTTCTTGGACGAGAACCTGCCGTACCTCTGGTACAACAGACATGTTCTTCAAAGTACATGCAGCCGCAGCCTGAGTTACCGAATCAGAGGTTGTACATATCTCCACTAGCGGCCTAACTCCACCGTGTCCAACGATTGACCTGGAAGTTGAGGTTGAGACAGACAGCCTCTGGAGGGAAAGAGTTGCCTTTTCTTTACCCAATGTAGTACCAGATTCAACTAGTCGTATAAGGGGTGGAAGTGCGCCTTCTTCAACAAGCCAAGTGTCGCACCTCCCGGCCAAGGCAAGCGAGCAAATGACGGTTGCTGTCTTTTCTCTTATTCTTGGAGAAGTGGCTGCAGTTAGGAGTTGAACAAGTGCTGTTACGCTGTTACGCCCCAAAACTTCTAAAACTTTCTTTTCGTCCTCTCGCATTGCTTCCAGAAGATGATCAAGAGCTCTATGTTTGTCCTCTAGGTGACCGATTTGAAGACGAGCTAGGAATTCTTCGCCTAGAAGGCCTGTCTTGATCAAAATCCCACAATCGCGCAGATTCAAATCCAGTTTTCCAGACAAAAAATCCAAATCACTTTGCATCTGAAGCTTCCCCTCATACTTCTCTTTCCCACAAATCTCGGCCAACTCTATTGCACTCTTCAGTGTATGGAACACCGCCTGAATCTGTTCCTTGCAAAGGGCGTTCTTAGAGAAGCAAGGATGAGTTGACAGATCAGACAAGTTTGGAGGGATTTTTTCCAGTTTTGAAATTATCATCTTCCACCTTCCCGGGAAACCCCTGACCTCTCTTGCCCTTGCAAGAGCCTCTGGCACCAGCTTCTGGGCCCGCATTAACCACTCTTCCGCTGACATGTCATCAGCGGCTGCGCTCTTCCCATTGTCTTCAACCATCTTTTAGGAGTTCCGAATTAACACCACACTGCCGAAGAGAAGATATCTGCAGCATAAAAATTGATATGAAATGTGAATTTAAAAAAAATGGGTGTTAACGTTCAGATGAATATATCAAAATAAGCTCAACTTCAGTAAATAGATGTTTGTTGATAGCTATTTCACCTAACTGGCTATTTGCCTTTAATTTGTGTACTCAGTAAATGATGAAAAAGGAAACGATATGCAAAATCCAATAGTAAACAACTATTCACATTTCATCTTCTTTTGCATTTTACTACCAAACTTATAAAATTTGAGTTCTTCAACAATTTTTCTTCTTCACCAAAACTGTGCAAGATCTGAATATATACTTTGAGTTGAAGATGTATTCAGAACTATGGTTTTTGAGGCACTAGAAAATGAGGAATTTCTTTAATACGGAGTAATAATGATAATAACAGCGAAGAAGTAGCATAGACGTAGAGGACATAAAGATTCAAAACATCATCTAGACCGTATAAAAATGAAAACTTTGGAGCTATTTGAATCATGAACATTACTGAGCATTTAAATAACTGCAAAAATTGAGAAATTGCAAAATCACGGATGTTATCTGAAATTAGAAAAAGGTTTCAAATGGCTTGTGACAAAAGTGAAGAAAGAAACTTCCAACGCCAATCCACCAACCATAAAATCAGTGGGTAGATACTTTTGCCTTTACTGAACAAGCTCAACATACGTGTGATGTCAATAATATGTATGGATTCTTCAGCAAGTTAATTAAAAAGGGACAGTTCATCAGAAAATATGGGTAATTTAGTCATCAGAACATAAAGTTCTTATCTTTATCAATTAGTTAGTTATACTGCCTTATCTTCCTCTGGGTTGATGTCTCAATTTTTGCCACAAGAATATGACAGCTTTATTCATGTAAATCTTATCCAGTGGCCAGGAAAATCAGAAAACAGAACTTTAAGTAAAGTGAAGACCCACGATTTTTTTTATTCTTCTACATTCCTATGTCTTGATTCTCTTTTTAACCTTGTATATTTCATAAACAATCAAGCTTGAGGTACACATTTTCATACACACACCTACACACTCATGTTTGTGAAGAGTATTTTTTTGTCTGTATACAGACATAACATATTTGAAAATACCTTATGTCTGTATACAGACAAAAAAATACTCTTCACAAACATGAGTGTGTAGGTGTGTGTATGAAAAATGTGTACCAATAGATTTTTTGTTTCATAAATCCTTAAATGAGTAGCATTTCTTAGAGGTGTTGAAAAAGAAAGAGTCTTTGCTTCGAATAAAAGGCAGTATTCCGACACACCGGTGTGAATACTTGGGTTTTAATCTTCAAATTCTAGAAAAGGGACGAAGTCTCATAACAGAATAAGCAGGAATTAAATAATAAGTTGATAATACGGAGTAGTAAATCACAATAATATTAGTAATAGTACTCCGTAAAAGATTACAGCAGCAACAATATGAACAGCAAAAACAAGAAAGAAAAAATTGATCTTTTTACCTCACAGAGTTAGTTGTATTGGTTCAATTCATGCCATCCGAATTTGTAATGGCCACTAAGACTGTTTTCAACAAGCAAAAAACACAAATTAATACAAAAGGGTAGCCAACAAAAATGACAGATCACCAGCTTGCTATCTACGCTTTCAAGAATAAACTCATCTAAAGAAATAGAAAATCTAATAGCTTTACCATCAAACTGTTGAAAACCAAATCTTAATGTCACACCAGTATTTAAATTATTATTCAATAAAACGGAAACTCAGCTAAAGATTCAAACTTTGAGTAAATAATCAAGAATTTGAAGGGAGGAAATCATGAAATGTTGAAGTTAGGAGAAGTAACGGATAAACAAATCGATAAATAGTGATACACACCAGATTTGTTAAGGAAAACCCTTGTTTTTTACTCCGTACTTCACTGATATGAGAACAAGGACGCACAGCTTAACCCCAATTCAAAAATACATTGAAATAGTTGTCTGCTGCTCTATTCCAATTCTCTTTCTATAGTCTGTAGAATACAGGATAAAACCCGGATGAAAGAATAAACGGCTGAGATTGAAGAGAGGAACAGTGTATGAGACCGTTGGCCGAGGGGAGAGAAATTTGAAACTCAAACTCTGCCTATTTTAGGAACACATTTAAGTTCACTGCTAATGTCGTGAAGTATTGTGTGCAACCATATGTGTGTTACACGGGAAATTTGTAAAATTAGTCCCGTAACTTTTGGTGTTGTCCGATATTGGTCCTCTAACTTCATTTACTTGTATAATACGTCCTCTAATTAACATATTTGCCCAATTTCAGGACATTTATGTCGGAAAGTAATAATTTCGTCAGAAATTAACACATCAGCGTCAATTGTTCATATTTTCTTCATATGGCCTAGTTGACCTAGACTTGAGACCCTGTTTTTTGTTCCCTCCCAAACACCTTATTTTAAAACATCCTGCACATAAAGAAAACACTCTCTGATTCATAAAACATTAAAAAATAGCTAGATTAAACTGAATACGGAGTAGTAAATAATACATCTTCAATTTATTTCTTATAAATTCCAAATACGAAATTGTAAAAATGAACATAAAGAAAAAACTGTACTTCAGGATTTTTTTTTTTAAATTCTTGACACTTATCAATTTTAAAAGCCTCCATTTGAACCATAGAAACGGTCCAGGTAAAAGACAACTCGTTAGTTTTGCTAATCAACTGTTATTCTTGTTCCAATGTCTTGTCAGAACCTTTAACATTAGAATTTTTTTCTCTAATATCAAAGTAATACTACATATAAAATATTTATTTTTTTCAAACAAAATTCGAAACCTACAAAATTAAAAAGTTTAGAGTTCTTACTCTGTTTCTAGAGCACACATGGAACCTCCTTCTCTCGTCATATGTCAGTCTATGAAGTTGAAACACCGGCCTTCTTACCACAATGATATTCCATAGATCCTTGCCTGAGCCATTATTTGCACTTAAGAGGAACACACATTCACCTTCCATCCATATGTGGAGAAGCGAGACCAAGAATTACAAAGCCTCCGTTCTTCTCTTAGGTTTTGTGCTTTTATTGTTCTAATGGGGGATTTGGGAGATCAGAGCACAGTGAAGTGTTTGGGAATAAGTCATAAAAGGGGCCCACATCCAAGTCAGCTGCAAATAGGGTTGTAAACGAATCAAATAATTTGTGCTCGATTCGCGATTCGAATTCGTATAAGGTGATCCGAATTCGGAAAATTCAAATACAAATACAAATATGAATATTAAATTTGATTCAAGTTGTTATCAAATTCAAATAAGAATATCAGTGTATTCGATTCGAATATTAATCAAATATATTCGATTAATAATAGTGATAATATTAATATTAATATTAATATTAATAATAATAGTAATAAAACTATAATAACTTTTAAAAGATAGCAATACCCTAAAGTGTAGTTCATATATACATGTATGCATACAAATCCTAAGTCCATTTGTAATAAATCAAAGTATAAATACGAATACAAATCAGATTTTTGGTTCAAATGTCTTTCAAATACAATACAAATAATTATTTATTCGATTCGAAGAATAAAAATAGAGACGTTTGACTTTGATATATACAATTATCAACTTATTTCACACATTGTAAGTATAATTTCTAATATGTGTGTTGTATTTATTTCTAAAAGTTTGAAATAGATTTATATTTGTTAATCATAAAATTAATTCACTTAAGTATATCATGCACAATTTAAATTCTAAAAACACATATTAAGACATAGCGTACATTTACAACATAAAAAAATATAAGAAAATTTATTTTAAAGTGATATTTGACTAATATTTAACCTATGCTCAAATCTATTTGATATTCGTATAAGATTCGTTAACTATTCGTATTGTTAAACAAATACAAATACAAATCGAAATTAATATTCGTTTCATATTTGAATTCGAATTTGTATTCGAAAAAATTAATCAAATACAAATACAAAATCCTGCTATTCGACTCGATTCGGTTCGTATACAACCCTAGCTGCAAACGTTAGAAAAAGATTACAACAACGGGAGATTGACATGTTACTTTCCGGCCAAAATTTAACTTCCGATGGCAATGTCTTCAAATTGAACAAATATATTAGTTGAAGGATGTATTTTGCAAGTATGTAAAGTTATAGGATCAATATCGGGTATTGGCCAAAGTTACAGGACTCTTTTAACAAATTTCCCGTGTGTTGCAACGTTGTGGTGGCCTCGGTTCGGGCCGCCCGGCCCGGGAACCGGCCCGGCCCGCTACTGTGCGGGACAGGCCCGGACCGGTTTTCCAGTTCCGGGTCCGGTTCGGGCCTAGGCCCGAGGCTTGGGCGGTTCCGGGCTCGGTTAGTGTTTTTGGTGGCCCGGCCCGGCCGGTTCGGGCCCGGGTCTAGGCCCAAAACTATTTTTTTTTTCATTTTTTTGGTCTTTATTGAGTTGGGCTTGATGTTTAGGACTGGTTTGGGGGGTTTGGGGGTGGGGGGGTGAGGGGGGGGGGAGAAAAGAAATGAAAAAAAAATAAACTAACCGGGTGGCCCGGCCCGGAACCGGTTGCCACCGGTTCGGGCTCGGGCCCTAGTTTTCTGGCCCGAGGCCCGGTCGAGCCCAGGCCCGAACCGGACTCGAACCGGCCCGAGGCCACCAATAATGCCACGTATGTGATATGCAGTATACCTTACGGTTGTACGGCGTAAATTGCACAACAGGTGATTGTTTGATAATTTAAGTAAAATTCGCGAGTTCAAATTAAAGTAGAGAAAAGGGTCAGATAGAGCCTCGAAATTATATAAAAAGGTCAAATAAGGCCTTATATAGGAGGTTCTGTCCAGCCGTCGCAATTTGGAACAGTTCCGGGTGGAATTTTTTGATGAAATTTTTTGAGCATCTTATTCATTAAATCTAGTTTACTCATACCAAATTTCAGTTAAAACTTCAATCGTGAAGGCATTCAAATAAGTAAAAAATTAAATAATATAATGTTAGTAATAATTAAACAAGACATGAAAAATTCTCAACAAAAATAAACAAAAAACAATACAAAGCAATAAAATGAAACAACAACAATAAGATAACAGAAGTAATAATAATTGCTCTGTTATCTAGAAAGTATATTTTATATTTTTTAACAATTGATGTTGGGTAAATTTGTGTGATTAATCATAAAATAAAAATACTAAATAAATGAATAGTAGGGAAAATAGAAACAAGATGACACAAATAGCCAAAGCTTGTGCAATACACAAATTCCTTATTCGCTGCCTTCCACAATTTTCCGGGATATGGTGGCTACGAACAACCGTATGAGCACACAATCGGTTGTTCTGGTAAACAGAAACAAAGAAAGAACGTTAGAGATACTTTCAGAAAGTTGGAGGTAAAAAAAGTACGTGTGTTGTGTTAGCTGAAAAGTTGGAGGTAGTTTTTAGCTGAAAAGTACGTGTAAATTGTGAAGTCTTGTGTGTTGTTAAGGGAGCTTTAATGGACCAAAACATTGGGCATTAATATGTCCAGAAATTGTCCATTTAAAGATGCATCAAAAAAGAAGAATGTTGGGCATTAAAGGCTGTCACGTTAAGCGGACAGCCTGTCTGGTGAACCGTTGATCGGCGAGCAGCAGCTGCTGGTTCGGACGACATTCGTGTCTTGAACTTGCAAATGAGGCTTGGCTCACTTTGTTTCTTGGTTTCTTTGAGAAATCCCACCATTCTGGGTAGCCAATGATCTCGTAACATCTTTGTTTAGAGTGTTCGGCTTCTCTGCAGTGATTGCAGTCAAGGTTATTGTTTACTTTTGGTGGCCTGTTTTGGGCAGCCAGATTAACAATATTTTCTTGTTCCACCTTTGGTTCCTCCATAGTATGTCGCTGATTTTGATCCTTACGAACATACGCATAGCACGATTCAAGGTCGAGAGGTGGATCCTTCCTCATAATTTCGCTTCTCGCTTGGTTGAATTCTGAATCCAAACCGGCTAGGAAAATATGGACACGGAGGCGAGCAAGAGTTTTATGGAGGGCCAGAACTGTGTGATGTGAGTTTTCTCGCACTTAAAAAGATTGTAATATAGTGGTGTAAGTACGAGTATCGTCTCCACAGGGACGGACAAAAGGGAATTAAGAATTAACTAAATTCAGCGATTAAAAAGAAAATAAAATAAATGCGTCGTGCGAGATTGATTGGTTGGAAAATAAAACTAATGTGAACAATTAAACTAGGGGGTTCTTTCTAATTAATGACGAAGGGAACAGGGATCGATTCCGGGGTAACCAGATTTCTGGCAGATCAGGCCTAATTACATGAAATTAATTTAATTGAGCCTAGCTAATCATTACTAAGTTCTTACCGCTCTCGCGGCGTAGAGTACAATAATTTAGGGGACCGGGCTGATCTCTCATGCGACAGGATCCTAAATTATTGCCAAAACGAGCGAGCTTACGGCCCCTTAATCGCTACTAATCTCTTAGCGAACGATTAAGTGTGTGTGAATGTGTCCTAGAACAAATTAGATCTCTCTTAATTTATTCTACATGCAATTGTAATTCTAGTCGCGATTCTAGGTTACAAAAGATATCAATTAAATTATTCAAACACAAATTAAACGGCATTCATGCAATTAAACCAAAAAGAATCTAGCCATACATCATGATTAACCCCTTCATCAATCCCAAATCCCTAATTAAAACTACTCACAATTCATAATTGAAGAATCAATAGAATTGGAATAAAAAGAATTAATTGTCATTAATTAAAAATGTGGAACTTACAAAGAATCCCAAAAGATTAATGAACAAGGCTGAAAAGCCCTCTAAAATTTGTGCTAGGCACTCTCTTTAAGCTCCTAAGTCAAAAACAGGCAAAACATGGGTCTATTTATAGAAAAATCCGAAAACAGGCCGAAAATCAGGCCGCGCAGTCGTCCGCACGCCGTGCGGGTCACCGCGCGGTCACGCGCGCGTTTTTTCGTCTTCCGACTTTCGCTCCGCCCGCGCGGTGTGCGGGCGCCGCACTATGCAACCGCCGGGTACTTCTGGGGGCTATTTCTGGACCGCGCGGTGTGCGGTTTCGGCCGCGCGGTGTGCGGTTCAGACCCCTCAACTATTTGCTCTCAGAATCGTC